AAAAAAATCCCCCCCCCCCCCAATAACATGACTAGTGGGAAATGAATGGTTTGGATCCATCAGCTTTTCTGTTGACGAAGAAGGTAGCAGACCACTCTAAAAGTCTGCTCTGAGGTTCAGATGACTTTCATGGACAAAAACCATGTGAGATGGGGGCTATAATTAAAAAGGAGAAATTGAGTGAAGCTGGCTAAATCCAACCAGATGTATTAAAATCTCTGTGGTGTCTATAAAGGGCTCCAAAAAGGGGGGGGAAGAGAGCATCAGATGTTCATGTAGTTGAAGGGATCAGGCTGGGGCTCAGAGACTGATTCTTCTCTCTCCTCCAACCCCTCCTTTTCTATGTTCTATGTTCTATATCATAGCTAGGGTTGCCAGTCTCCAGGTGGGGCCTGGGGGATCTCCCCCCTTTTACAGCTCATCTCCAGCTGACAGATACTAGCTCCCCTGGAGAAAACGGCTACTTTGGAGGGAGGGTTCTGTGGCATTGTACCATGCTGAGGCCCCTCCCCTCCCCAAATCTCCAGGTATTTTCCAACCCAGACCTGGCAACCCTAATCGTAGCTTGGCTCACTTTCTTGAGCCTTCTGCTATTGCGGCCTCCTCTCGCCAAGCACAGCTGCCACAGCTGCCTAAGTCTGCCCCAAGCTGTGGCCTGCGATGTTGAAAAGCAGTGTGCGTGACTCAGCTCCACAGCCGACAGGCAGGATGACACAAAGGTCTGGAAATGGGGAACCTCTGCCCCCTCGAGTTTCCTAAACTGACAAAAAAGACCATCTGATTTCTCCTGTCTCTTTTTCTTTGTCAGGTTCCACCATGGAGGCTAACCTCACCGGCCCCTGGCCTACTCGGGCCTCGTTGTTGACGTCCCCAAACGCCAAAGCCAACACGAGCAATGTCATGGACATGGTTCAGGTCTTCTTCTACAGCGTGGTGTTCCTCGTTGGTTCCCTCGGCAACGGGGCCGTGATCGCCATCACGGCCCGCCAGGCCTCTCGCACCGTCAACTGCGTCTTTTTCCTCAACCTCGCCTTGGCGGACTTCCTCTTCTCCGTCAGCCGGATAGTGCCGCTGATGAAGAACGCTTTCTACAAAGGCGACTGGCCCTTCGGGAGCGTCCTGTGCAAAGCCAACAGCTTCACCAAGTACCTCAACATGTTCTGCAGCGTCTTCCTCTTGGCGGCGATCAGCATGGACCGTGCCACCTCCGTGGTCTACCCAATGTGGTTCAGAAACCGCCGCGGCCCTCGCTTGGCGTGGCTGTCTGCCTTTACTGCCTGGTTCGCGGCCACAGCGGCCAGCCTCCCTTTTTACATCTATCGCAGTGTGGTGTTTGACTCCAAACGCAACGAGACGAAATGCTCCCTCACCCTGGGGGACGGGGAGAGCGTGAAGTTGATCTTGTATCTGCTGCGGCTCGTATGTGGGTTCTTGGCTCCCTTCGTCATCATCGTGGCTTGCTACGGGGTGATTGCAGCGAAGCTGAGGCAACGCCAAGCCACCATCCGCTCCAAGAAACCCTTCAAGGTCATCCTGATGCTTGTGATCACCTTCTTCTTCTGCTGGGCACCGTACCACCTCTTCCTCCTCCTCAAACTGCAGGGGTACAAAAGCCAGGGAGTGTCCATCGGCCTCCCTCTCGCATCCTGTCTGGCGTACCTCAACAGCTGTGCCAATCCCATTCTTTACTTCTTCATGGGCCTGGACTTCCGCCGAGAAATAGGGCACTGGGACTTGGCAGGGGCCTTCCGGAGGACTTTGCTCGAAGGGACCGTCTACTCATTCGGGGGGGTCTCCGGTCGCAAGAAGGGAGCCGCTTGTTCCGTCGATGAGCTGGGCTGCTCGACGGTAGCCCACGAGCTGGCCTGAAGGGCAGATCCGAGGTTCTATAGACCTTGCTGTTTCGTGAAGCCCATAAGGAAGTCATTTGCCTCCTTCACCTGTACGTTCCAGCTCTTGCTGAGAAGTCACCTGCATACCTGAGATCGCCAGTCAGTGGACATCTGCGTCAGGTTTTTCTCAGCAGCTGGCCTGTGGGGCTCACTCCTCCCTCTGTGTGGTGTGTGTGTGTGTGTGTGTGAAGTGCCATTGAGTCACAGCCAACTAATCTAGGGATGCCATCCTCCAGGTGGGACCTGGGGATCCCCTAGAATTATAGCTCATCTCCAGAATACAGAGATCCGTTCCCCTGGAGAAAAATGGATGCTTTGGAGGGTGGACTCTGTGGCATTGTGCTCCACTGAGGTCCCTGTCCTGCCCGAGCTCCACCCCCAAATCTCCAGGAGTTTCCCAACCTGGATCTGGCAACCCTACCCCCTATCCCCTGCCGGTGGCCAGGGGGTACCTGGCAACCATATCAGCCATTCCCAGGGGTCATTTCCTGCAGGAGCGCACAGGAGCGGAGCTCCAGCAGTAAAGAGCCCAGGGGGCGGGCACATGCAACAAGCCCCACCCCCTGCTCCCAGCAGCCCTCAGTTGGGCCACGAAGAGCAAGAAGCAGCCAGGTAAGTTGCAGAGCCCACCCACCCCCCAGCCCAAAACAGTCCAGCGGCACCTTAAAGACCAAGTTTTATTCAGGTACAAGCTCTCCCTCCTCTGCCAGGACACATCTGCAGTTCCTCCCCGCCCCCCC